GCCACTACGTTCAGAGAAAATTGCGTGGACTAGCCGAAGCTTCTTTCATCAATGGCTCGCCACTACGTTCAGAGAAAATTGCGTGGACTAGCCGAAGCTTCTTTCATCAACGGATCGCCACTACGTTCAGAGAAAATTGCGTGGACTAGCCGAAGCTTCTTTCATCAATGGCTCGCCACTACGTTCAGAGAAAATTGCGTGGACTAGCCGAAGCTTCTTTCATCAACGGATCGCCACTAGGTTCAGAGGGAGACTTCGTGAATTGGCCAGTACTTCTTTCATCACCGAGTCACCACTAGGAGATAGGCTGTTAGAAATTAGAGTTTGAGAGTTCTGTAACTTTTAAAAAGAAGAAACGAAGATACACCTCGAGCGATAAAGATGCATCTCTGTACCAACTATTGCTTCGAATTAGGAAATGGAATAATTGAACTTGACAACTTGATAGACTGGTAAAAGATACTATATTACAAGCTTTCAGTCTAATACAATTGTATGTGCATGAGTGTATCGCGGATACTAGATCGCGCTCTCGATTTGTCGCACTGAATCGGCGGGGGCTTATAACCTTGTAACGATGTATGTAGTCGGTTGAAATGCTTGAAAGAGCATCATCTTTCTAGTCGCGTTTTGCTCTTTATATACCAAAAATTTCTTTAAAAACGGTAGTGGGGGTCCATACCATTGGTCCATACGTGCCCTGATTCCAGAAGATTTGTTGTCGTACCCCTTCGAAGCTACTTGACTCACGATATGCAGAGCGAAATTCGCTGGCTGCTACATAAAACAGTATTATACCAAACGGGGTCTAAGATACATTGTTACTGAGATATTAGCGCAGTTAGCGCCAATTTACCAAAGTAGTTTAATCATTAAAATGAGACCAGACACAATATGCTTACCATATTTATTCATTATACGTAGCAAGTAACTTATCTTAATTAATTACATAAATTGTAATTGTAACAAAAAAAGCGTTAGAAAAATATTAAAGGCAACGTCAAAGAAGGTATGTATGTCGTTAAAAAAAGAAATATCAGAAGAGTTACGCTCTATTCGGACCTCGAATCAACGGCAATTCCGAGGGGACATGCGACGATTCGATTACAATTCCATGCCAGGATTCTACGCGTTTGACGAAGAATGTGAAGGAACAGTTTACTGTATCTTTTCCATCAACCCTGGAATTTTAAATCAAATGATTTTTCATGGGCTTGTGAACAATGAATTACGCAGGGCCTTCGAGGAAGTGACATCTCACAGTGCAAGAGCACCATCTTGCATACAGAGATTAAAATCATTTTTCTTGGGTGAGGAAAATTAAATAAGTAAGTATGCACTCACACAATGGTAAAAATTTGCAACCAATTTGAATATGAATTATTCATAAATTAATTTTTTTTACTGTTATTAGGAAATTAGTATCTGTTATTAGGAAATTGAGGGAAACCATCACTGTTGGCCACGATACTACACGATTCCAAAGATGATACATCACAAAACAATATAATATAGAATATCATTTTCCACGTTCCTAATTAGTATATGAATAATTATGTATAATATCAATGTAGCTTTTTAATGTATACATAATCATTATGACACTTCTGGTGAATAGATTACTTTAGTGTGTATTAGAAATATATTATGTAGTTATTATTTATATGTATAACGTATTTTTCTTATATGGTCACAACAATAATGCAATAAAATGAATTACACAATAAATATCGTGTTCGATATTACTTTAATCAGAAATATTTGTCCGAAATATTTGTTTGTATATTATGTTTAGTCTCATTCTAATCAGGAAACTATCAGCAATATGTTAAAAAAAATCAGTTTTAAAATGTTAAAATTAAAAAAAATTATGTCATTGTATTATGAGTTGTCTTCCGGGAATTCAAGTCAAAGGAGCCGCGTCGCGTTCCGCAGCACACCTGTTCATCGACTTCGTCGATCCTTAACAGCAGCGTAGCAATAAATCACAGGACCGTAGCAACAGAACAGGTACAATTCCCAGCGTACCGAAATATGGCATTTCCGGGAGAAACTAGAGTTTCGACAACTACTAGTTTTCTACATTCCTGATTTAGCTGCGATGAATGCCTGAATTTCACGACAAGTACAGTGTCGGACGAAAGATGTTCAGTGAAACATAAGGAGCATAAATAAAAGTAATAAATCTAGTATATTCTTTAATAAAATTTTAATGAATGTTAATAGTTAATAGCAAAATTTCAATATGTCTAGGAGTGGTTTTGTATGTCGTGTGTGTGAGTGTGTGCGTAAAAAAGTTGCTGGAAGCGTGCACATGTCTGAAAAGTAAATCTCTCATGTTCTTTTTTTTTTGTTGAAGGAGGGAAAGCATTGTTTGTAGTCTGTTACGTGTGAAAGCGAATATAATCCTGTTTAGTTTTGCATATACTATTTCCTTTTATGTAATTGAAAAAATTCAATTTGTGTTTGAATACGAATGGTTAAATATGAGATACTACGTGCTCACGTGATATCTCGAAAAAGAAATATGTTTTATTTTCGTTGATTAACTCCATTGAAATGAGAGAGATTACTTATAGACTCTCTTACACCACGCTACAAAAAAGTCATGAAATTATAACATAACGCCTACTGAAAACTGTTTTTATTACGGATTAAAATTCAATGCATTTGACAAAGTTTTGTCAAACCCTCCAAATATTAGTGCCTCTAAATAATATTCAGTACTCGTAGTAGAAATGAAATATACAGGATATTCGCTTCTTGCTAACGTGCCTATTGTTCGTGAATTATCGGTAATGCTGAGCGCGATACGAAATGGTAAGATGCAATGTCTGTACGTGTCCTAAGACTGTGCCTCTGTTATTTCAAATCCTGCTGTCGATAAAGCAGGAACGGCGCCGTTTTCAATATCTATAAGGTGTTGAAACACTTGGTATGGGTTAGATTATTTTTCGAGCGAGCGTCCCCTGTAGCGATTGATCCATTGTAACTTTATCAGAAGTTGTAATGGTTACGTCCGCCGCGGCTCGAGATTTCTCCCTGTTCCAATCCCGACATCGCTACACCGCGGAGCATTGCACTGCGACTGCGAGAAGGCTTCCTCGCGACGTTCTCCCTGTACTGCTTCTAAGCGATCAGGAGCAAGGATAAATGCGACCGATCGACATTGACTTAGTTATACCACCAAGAGTTGTTGGCAAGGGACGAACGTGATGACATAAGACCGCTGAGGCTCTGAGTTTTTCTCCTTCCTCAATCCTTGCGTCCATCCTATAGTTACCCGTCACGTTTTACGGTATAATTTGTACTACTAACTTACTACTGTACTGTGTTAATAGTACTATTTGTACTATTAACTAATTTGTACTACTAACTTACTACTGTACTGTGTTAATAGTACTATTTGTACTATTAACTAATTTGTACTACTAACTTACTACTGTACTGTGTTAATAGTACTATTTGTACTATTAACTAATTTGTACTACTAACTTACTACTGTACTGTGTTAATAGTACTATTTGTACTATTAACTAATTTGTAATACTGTACGGGGCATAACGTTATTTATCATCCGTTCAGCGATCTATCGATCCAATACCACGATCCGACCCAGTGCCCGATCCGATACCGCGGATCCCGCCGCCGATCAGTCGATCGCCGCACATACTGATACCGCACATATCATCCTCCAAACGCTATTTTGACCTCTTTTGGAAGTTTACACAAAATAAATATTTATTGTAAATACAAAAAAAGCTCAACATTTAACGTATTTTCTATATCACAGCGTTAACGTCACTTATTATTAGCTTAACGTCGGCGTATTCACATGATAACCGTGGCGTGAGAATGGCTTTCACATCAATAATACGTCCCCCCTCACTGCGTTTACATGATTTCCACACTATTACCTTATCGAAGGAATAAAAAGGATCCAGGTTGTAGATCACTTTGGGAACATAATGTACGGTGGCAGAAATCTCGTTTTACACTGTTGCGATACAATCAATTTATATACGTAAATTCTAAATATATCAGAAAAGAGGGTACCCGAAGGTATTTCAACACGTATAGTTTAAACATTTTTTGAAGGGACTAGAGGGGAAAACATTCGAAAATCAAGGATTTTTAAAAATAACTTTTTTGTAGTTTTGTAAACATAATAAAACGATACAACTTCTGTTCCAACTTTTGGTTCAGGTTTCTTTTTCGATATCATTTGTTCTTGAAATATTTCAGGATGAAGGAAACATTAAAATATTTTCAAGCGCTGATTTTACACCTTTAAACCTAATAGTAGCATCACAATGTTTATCCAAAGCAAGATATACGCTAATACTGGTGTAATATGCAATAAAAATAGAATAAATTGTCTAACAGAATCTCAACAGTAGTGTTCATGTATCTAATGATAAAAAATTTACATTTTATGTGTACATTTGTGTATATATATACAATATCCTAGATTTTTTATATCTAACTAAAATAGTTATAGAAGAAATTGTTAGAATAAACTAATATCGATTGTACAAAATCAGAAGACATCATTTGGTCTGATTTCCATTATTGCGACTTCTATCAGCATAGTTATGCAACTGCGAGTATATGCAGAAATAAAACGTAAAAACTGTACAATTTACATACATAACAAGAACTTAAAATTACATATTCACGAATAGTAATCAATCTAGTTCCGATTGACTTATAATATCTACAATACGGTACTTTGACTGTTTTAATTCTGAAACTGTAATCACGGGTACTTTGTGCCTGGGATAGTTATAAAGTTATAAAGTAACTAAAGTTAATAGTTATAAAGTTAAAGGTAAATAGAGTTATTGAGCATGGTGAATTTATGGGTTCGAGAACATAGCTGTTTGAAGATGGTACATGCATTTCTCGAGTCTTTTTTGAAAACTATTATATGCTAGAAAATGCATCTGAAGACACATTTCTAGTTTAAAAGTAGCGTAAGGTGTTAGTCAACATAATAGTTACGGTAAATCAACTTTGATGTATTAGTATCCCCAGTGTATAGCAATCGTTACTTGTGTTTTAAAAATACCTGAAATACCTGGAATGTGTTAAATAACGAATCGTTCTCTTAATTTTCAATTTTCGTTACTTTCAAAGTGATCGGATGGTTTGGAGCTAACAAAAAGGCGCGTGGATTAATTACATATGGTATGACAGTTCTCTCGCAGATATCAACTTTGTATTTCCGAATTATCTTTACAAGCCCAATTTTCGTTTGAAAGATTGCGAATCGTGCACCTGCAAACAAATACAGATTATTACAAATTTGTCATTCCATAGTATCGTTGAGTTTCAATTTATACTATTTCAGAATACTATTTCAAGAATAGTTTTAATTATTATCAAATAATGTGTGTTTCGGTATTTTTCGATCGACGTGTACAATTAAACACCCATTGAAATCGGTAGATTGGATCATACATCATCATAAATACCAAATTGTGTTCTAGAAAGGCTTACATCACGAGAAAAGACGATGTGTAATAAAATTTTTAGTAATGAAAATTGAAAGTATTCTTTGCTTTCAATTGAAAAGACTACTAATCAGGATTAAGCCATTAAACACTAGTACTTTCGCGATTACTTTAGTATCGAACGTATACAGATTATACAGAAAATATAAAATATTAAAATTGTTTGATACGTCGCGCGAAAATAATGAAGAACAGTTTCTTACGTACCGATACAATTCCTTGGACCATCGCCAAATGGTAAATAATGCATTGGATGTCTCTTCGACTCCGCGTCACCCATAAATCGAGTAATATCGAAAACTTCTGGATTAGGGTAAATATCTGGATCGTGGTGTATTCCATACACAGGTATAAACAGAGCTATATTTTTCGGGATCGAAAATTTCAAGTCTTCAAAAGTGTAGTCGTCGACTGATTTCCTATTAAGAATTGGTAACGCTGGGTATTTTCTCAGTGTTTCTGCAACAATGAAGAACATAATAAGAAAATTCAGCATTTCTTGAATCATGTATTTGACTCTACCATATGGACAAAACTCTACAATGTTATTCTTAAGAAAGTTAATAATTCTACGATCGACATTTCCAAACTTTCGCAGTACAATCGTGTACATCTACAATGTAGAGCAATAACCCTTATCTCCTTGAAGAGAATTCATGGCCATTACTATCTTCTTTTAAATTGTTTGCTTTATTGTTTAATTTCTGGCAGTTAAAACAAATTTTGTCGATACTTTTAAAGATAAGAAAGCTGTTCAAGGTGATCAGAGTTGCTGCTTCAGCTTGCAACGAGATTTGTAAAATGTCTTAGGACCTAGAAAGAAATGGCAATTAAATCAATATTTTTATAGTTAATAGCTGCGTTCTTTGTGAACATCTGAAAAATAAATGTTATGACAATATTTTCATAATTAATTCATAAGTTGTGTTGTTGCAAAATTACGATATTCCTCCGATGCTCGAGTAATTTATCTTAGTAATTAGTCAATTAAATGGTTATACGACATATGTATATAGTGAGAAGCAAAAACTAGGCCAACAACTTTTAAAAAGATATAACGTTTCTAAAACTGGACTAAACAACTTGAATTTTTTTAAATGATAGAAGGACTAATCTCGTAGACTATGACTAAAATATATTTTCTCTAATTTTGCTATTACTTAAAATGACAAAATAAATAAAAATTCACGTTCTTTAACTTTTTTATCCGAGCTTATAACGAAAGTGTAAAAAATGCATTTGATACTACTTGGTAACTTATGTACATAATGAATATCTCAATGAAATCGCATAGTCACGCTATAACCATTGAAAGATGTAAAAATTATCTGTTTTTGGTGAAAAACAACTCACATCAATGATGAAATTTCCAGCATGCGTATAAGTTACCGAGACGTATCAAACGCATTTTTTGTTATAAGCTCAGATAACAAAGTTAAAAACGTGAATGTTTTTTTATCATTTTTTTATTTCCTAAATATTTTTATAGCCTCGTGTATTTTATGTACAGATCATTCCATGCCAAACGAATAACTTCTGCATCTCGTTGTCAGGGATTTTGATGATATTGAAGTATATTGTATTATTTTACCAACTTCCAACATTCTGACAATTATTTATTTTAAATTATAAACGTATTAATATTATTTTCAAAGCGTATCAAATCAGTGCAACCCAAATAAAAGCATTGATATGACTTATCCAATACTGACGTACACTCCTACGATCTGTGACCCCGATAACGAAAGTGGATTCTGTAAGCCTACACGCTGAGGAATGTTTGGATAATAGAAATGTTTTCTCAGTAAGAATACTGCAGCTTTTCTACAGCATAACATAGTATGTAATTTTTGTCACATAAATGCTACGCCCACAGAAAAGAATTACAACATGCAATTATTAAAGAATTCTGTGAAATATTCTGTTGCGATACAAACCTTTAAATACAGCGTCCAAAATTGGCATAGCTTTTATATTTTCATAGTGCCATTCTCCATTATTAATCTCGTAATGTTCGTTGACCTCTTTCCTCAATTTGTCTTGTATGTCCTGATTCAAGGCCAGTTCGAAAAGTGCATTACTGATTGTTGTTGACGAAGTTTCAAAACCAGCAGCAAAAAAGACGAATGCTTGCGCTACGAGTAGACTATCCGTTAAATCTAGAAAAGAGATAAAAGCTTTACGTTAGCTGCTTCATAGCTATTAAATGAAATTATTTCACGAAGACAGTCCATTCTATTAAAGTACCATAGATTTCATATAGAAAACCATCATTATGCACGCTGTAACGTTCAAGAAATATCGACTTAAATTGTAGAGGATGTTCCACATAAATGTGACCTCAATGAAAGTTGTTCACTGTTTACGGAAGTCCACAATGTAATAATTAGTTTTTACTATTTTAATGTTTTATTCAGATATGATGATCTGAAATATTGTAGTCTCGAAGATAGTTATTGTAATGAAAATTCGAGCGACAACTAGAAAAAGTGTAAGCGCATTGAGCAGATGTTTGTGTTTCCTAAAAATTTTGTAGTAAGTAAATTTTGAAATAACTTTGGGAAATAACATTCAGAGATCGCAGTCAATGTGGTGTCGGGCTTGCTATCACGAGGACGAGCATCAACCGTGCTCGCATACAGAAATCACCATTTTGAAAGGCTTACAACATTTTCGGGACACCCTTTTTTTCAAAACTTGCGAAGTTTTCAATTATTCACATATTTACGCCTCAATATCACTATAAGCACCTTAGATACGGCTAATTATGCGTCTTAAAATTTCTCTCTATAGGACTGTGGCCTTCAAGATTCCTACTTTTACGTTACGGTGGAATAATTTATTGTTCAGCGTTGTATTGCTTGTCACAGACTCTTCCAAAACAAGTGTGACATCACAATGAGGCCGTCTCCAATCAGAGCATGTAATGAGGTGTCTAGACAAGCGTTCGCAGGAAAATAAGTCCGATCTGACGTTGAAGGATTGGGGATAGGTGACGCATACGTTTGGAGTCCCGTACAGTGATGTTCAACGATGTAGATTATAATTCTGAAGTACGGACGCGCTCTATAATCACGTCGCGTTCGTAGTTCGGAATTGTAATATTCACTCGACAGAGCCGCCACGCGATGCCGCTGTACGGAACTCCCGGCGCATGCGTTACCTATCCCCACTTCTTCGAAGTCGGATCTGACTTATTTTCCTGCGAACGCTGGTCAACAACACCGTGAATTCTGTTGTCCTCTACCTCTACTCCGCTGAAATACTCATCCGTAACGTCACGGATGTAGTCGTGTGCCACTTGAGGGAATTCACAGTAGCGGTAACAAGGCCAGTGTTTCACGTAACGTTCGTTAATCACGTAACGAACGGCGCGTAACGAAGTTTTGCTAAATGGCGCATTCCCACCAGTTCGGTGTTCGCCTTTTAGTAGGAGTGAGAGGTTTTATCAACGATTTCGGAGGGAATGTTGACGCGAGGGACGCCTCTATGACGACGGCAAATTCAAACACTGAACAGAAAGATACAGAAACATTAAAAGTGAGGACAGCGGGTTCAAACGTCGGCATCTTGTAAGAAGCAGTCGCCAAGCCTGAGTTTGGTGTTCCCAGTGTTGCATAATACAATTAACAGTATTTTGCAGTAATATTATTATTCAGTAATATTGCATACATACCGATGTCACCCAGCTTCTCAGGATGCTCCCGGATGTCCATCAATGTCTTGATGAAATCGTTTCTGACGATATTATTCTTCTTTCTGTACTCTATCATGTTTAGAACATTGTCGATAAAGAAGTCAGTTCCATAGGGACGCGGTATTATCCGAGAAATCAAGGTATATAACTTCGGTGCAATGTCTCGTATTCTAATTCTTAGTATCTGCGTAACCGAGGTTGAGAAGAACGCTTTTCCCACTTTACGAAATTCCGATTCCTTGTCCGACATACAATTCATGTTGATTCCAAAGGCGCAGCTCCCAATAACGTCCGTAGTGAATCTGGCTGCCAACTCTCTGCAATCAACGGGGTCACCTTTTTCTGCCACTGTCTCCAAATGATTCTCAAGTGTGTTAGCGCAATCGATGATCATGGAGAACATTTCTTTCAGTTTGCCAGATGTAAATACTGGCGAGAGCCTTGTTCTCAACGGTCGCCATCTTTCTGGCTCCAGAGCAAATAAGTGTTGCGAAAGTGGTTCCGCCTGCGTTAACAAAACCGAATTTTTGATAACAGTATTAAAAAGAGGATACGTCGTCGAAATTCAAATAAAAATTTACAATCAATCGATATTACTTAGCATATTGAACGTCACTTGAGTTATGGTTAGATTTCTTATCCCTTTTTGAATCCGATTAACTATTTTTATCCGAGCTCATAATGAAAATTTTAACTACGTTTTATAGATATGAGTAATTTAAATGGATATTGAAAATTTCATCGAGATTGCTTAATATTTTCGTGAGCTACATATTTTCGTGCAATTAAAAATAGTGAAAATTGCAGTATTTTTATCAATTTAATTGGATGTACAGGTAATGGAATTGTAAAATAATGATTTTTTTACTGAATAGTAAAAATATTTCTTCACAATTCTGACTAAATACAGTTCTTTAAAAAAAATTGTAGTACATCAACTAGTCAACTAAACATTCTAACTCAAGAATGTCTTCTAATGTAATGAAATCTATTCTCAAAAAACTTCAAGTTGTTTGAGTCATTCTGAAGAAAGCTATTCCGTTTTATAACCCTTTAAATGTGTGTGTGACAAGCGTACTTATGGAGATATGCCAGGTTTCTGTGTTATAACCAGGGATTAAAAACAGTTATGATATCGGTTTCGGTCCTTGAAACAGTTGTGAAGAACCGAAATGCTTTCATTGTTGTTATAAGGTATATCGGTTTTGATTTCGGTTCTTCAGAACCGTTGTTACAACGGTTCTAGATGTATACTCTACGGCTCTAGTTGTATACTCACCTCCTCATTGACTGTTATTCCACGATTTGCAAATTTCGCGAAGTCTCTGATAATTACTGTCTTGATTAATTCAGGATCATTTATAATCAACAACGGTTGTCTTCTTAAGAATACGCCGACCAATGGTTCCGATTTATACTTTTGGTACATCTCGTGCAAATATTCACCTACCGACTGCTGCGAGAACATTACTCGGATAATGTTACCAAAAAGTGGTATCGGTTCCGGACCAGGAACACCGCGTTTCTTCCAAAAGTTGTAAGTTGAGGTCGAATAGTAGTAAAGTAGGAAAAGCACCACGATGATGGCGCAAAAAATTTCGATGCCAGTCATTGTTGACTAACTTCTTTTCAACTTTTCGACAGACGAAGAACAATTAGAAATAATAAACTGCAACAGAAAAGAGATAACGAATCTATACAATTTAGTCTTAAATAAATTAGATATTAGGTATTAGTAAATCTTTTTCATTTTATCTAATTTCTATAAAAAGATGATGTACACTTAGAAATTTTATCTGTAAATCTATTAAGCGGATCGAGTTGAATTGATTTCTATTTTTGTTTACATATGTTGGGCCATTGCAGCATAACAACTATATTTCCAATTGAAAAAATTAATTCTGTTGTATTTAATTAAGAAAATAAAATGTTATGTTAATGTGTATTTCACGATTCATATACTCTTATATTCAAATACCCATGTACGCTAGAATCAAGAAGTATATACACAGATTAATACACGGCATAAGTATTACTAAAAGTGCGACGTGTATTTTAGATTCACGTATCATCATAGGCATTGCTTAGGTTAGTACTTGTATGAGTTCCTATTAATATCCATTATCTTATCTCGTGAACACTATTCCAAATGAAAAATTACCTATCTCCTTGTCAGTGTATTGACTATGGCTCATTGAGTATCACTAATACGAGAGTGACAGGAATCATTGCTCAGATTTGAAAATTAATTTCTAGATTAATCTATTATACCATCATAATTTTATTAGGATCCGCAATCTGTAAGAGTGTTGAAAATAGGATAAATGACAAAGTGATGAAGAACAGTAAAATAGTTGTTTCTTTCATTTTCTTCTAGCACGTGTCATAAATGGCAAATAAGATAAACAATTATAAACAAGATAAACGTTATGGTATAACTCATGCGCATATCGAATTAAACAATTTAAGGGAAAAGGATGCAAATCTATGTACTTTTTTTTAGCAATAGTGCCAAATTTTATTATCGAACTATAAAAACGGTCCAATAAATGTGAATGACTATGAAATGTACAATTTCTCCGTGTCACTTGCATAATATTTGTATATCGCAATTTCCATATTTTTCATGAAAATAAAAATACTTGAAATAAATAGTAGGTATCATGTTGATAAATTTGCAAAAGAGCACGGAAGATGTAATTACAAAATGTAAATAAATTATGCACAGCTGCACGAATCTCACTTAAAGGCTTGGGTAAGCTTACAATAAAAATAAAATTATGACTTAACTTTTTTATCTCTAATTTTTTATACATGAAATTTGTTTCAATATGTTGGTCAGATTTTTCCAATTAAAATGATACCAAACACGACATGCTTTAGACCATACTTATTCATTATACATAGTAAGTAACTTATTTTATTTGTATAAAAAGAAATATTAGAAAAACCGATTCTTAACATATGAAATATTAAAGGGAACGTCAAAGAGGGTATGTATGTCATTCAAAAGAATATATCAGTGAATTTATGCTATTCGAGCCTCGATTCGACTGCGATTCCGGGGAGCTTGCGATTGCCGATTGTTAATATATATAACAATATATATAACAATGTATTTTACTATTGCGTATTAAGTAAATAAATGTAATTGAAGTTATATCGTGTTTAATTTTATTTTATTCAGAAATATTTGTCCAAACTATGTCATGTTTGGCCTCATTTTAATCACATAACTATCAGCAATATGTTAAAAAAAATCAGTTGTAATCATGTCATTGTATTATGTCTTGCCTTCTGGGAATTCGAGACAAAAGAGCTGCGTCGCATGTCATCACACGTACGACGAACTCCGCTGATAAATCACAACAATATCACAGCTCGAACCTGGGAATAATGAAGTACTTATGTACTGTACTTCGCTTGACGAGCTGTATCTTAGCAAATTTTCAATCTCGACGTTCTCGTAATTGCGACGTTCGAAAACTAAGTCCCAAACAAAATGCTTTTTCAGTAGGACCTGTATTTTTATACCCTATAGTTTTCAGCAGGATAATGTCACAGCACATGTTGCGAAAGTAGTAAAAAAGTACTTTTCTCGAGCAAAAATCGCGTTTTGGTTTGGCCAATAAGGTCATATCGTTGAAAATTGTTTCGGAAATCTTAACCAACCTGTTTATACAAATGGCAGACAATTTTAAAACATTTCCGAATGAAAAAAATGTATTCAAAACGAGTGCGAGCAATTAGAGCAAAAAATTATTAAAAAAAACTCTATAAATCTTTACCAAGGATAATGATGACTGTTAATAACTGTAAAGGAGGAGCTACAAAATATTAGGGGGATCGGAAAGTAATGTCGTTTCTGCGCATATTTATCTGTTTGAATTTAATGTAAACAAACGACATAACTTTCCGGCCCCCCTAATATTAAGCATTAAATATCATTCCTTGACTTATTGCTATATATGATTTATAGTTAAGTATACTATCATTTTGCCCACTGTATTTCCGTAAAAATTCTTTTCTTTTTCAAATAAAATTGTTTAGATTGGCGAAATGCAATGATGTTTCATTTGTATATGTTTATAGTGATATTTTGCAAGATTGTATAGAAACGAAATCTTAGTTGTAATGTTAAATAAATAAAAATTACGTTAATCTTAAAGTGTACTATCTTTTTGTCTCGGAGTGTAGTATCGACAAATAATACCATCGATAATGTTGCAATGCTAAACAATTTGATTGTTACAACATGTGGCAACATTTGAAATATACCAGGACTTTTTGAACGTATCTTGCAGTCTATGGAACGTAGATTCGAAGCTTGTACCATGGCAAGTCATTTTCAGTAATTTCTTTAAGTAAGTTACAATTCTTTAAAATCTAATCTCGCGCAAATAGGAAGTATTCATCTCGAAAACGATGATTTTCCGAACCTATATTTATATGACCTCTTTTCATCTTTTGTGTGCGCAGGATACAGCAGCGATGTTTGCTCACCTATTTCGGGGACACTCTGTACATTAGTGATATGTGTACCAAAGATACGACTCACCTGATACACCGACTCTTACAGCAGCCGTACGCCTGCAACAGAACTAGCGGACAAACTGTCTGGAACTTACAACATACATAGTGGCTAACCTCACGTTCCCCACTTATAGTCTTATGTCATGACTGTGTAAGTGAGCATGTGAGCAATGGTACACTCATATAATACTATAATCTCTTCCACTGTTACTTTTGTAGCCATAGATACGCATCTGTGACTGTCAAATAATTAGGCTAATGCGACCGAATCCGCGCATTTCACGAAAGAAATGAAATACGAACAAAGAATTTATTCCAAATAAGAAAGAAATTACTCCATCAGAAGATTTAACAGAAGTACTGAGTCCGTAATGGTAATGATACATTTTATTTCAGTATTTATTACAACGAAGCAAAGTAATTAACACTTAAATTTAAATTTAAAGTTAGAATTTTATAATTGAAAATTAAACATTATTTTACAATTATTGAAATCGTAAAGATACTTTCGTGGTGAAATACTGGATATATTTATTTATTCAAGTCCATCTTGTAATCAAAATAGTAGAGTATCTCAAAAAATTGGCATGTTTAAAGGAATAAAAAATACGCATTAGTCATATTTAGAATTCGTCTGTTCTGGTGTTATTAACAATAATACGCAACATCACCGTCTTACGCAATACACGTACACATACTTACACATGTACTTGCAATCTGTATGCGCTATCTGTAAGATAATCAACAGCATGTATGCTAAATAGATATTTACTAAACGGCAGTTGTGTAATAGTAGTCTGCGATAGTATTGTTGAATTTAAATGATAGAGGGAGTCACATTCTCTTGATATTTGTCTCTCCAAGTAATTTTGTATGTCGTGCGTGTGAAAAAGGGATGTGTGTAAGAAAGATAAGTTCTGTTATCTATTGAAAGAAAGAAAGTATTGTCTGTAATCGGTTGTATGAAAAGCGAAAATACAATTTTGTTTAGTTTAAATATATTATTTCTGTTTATATATTTAGAAAGATTCAGTTTTTGTATACAAACAGTTATAACGAAGTACCATATGTTTGTGTGAAATCAAAATATTAAGTATAGTTTATTTTGTTGATTACATTCTTTATAAAATGAAAGATTATTTATAGATCCTCTTACACCATATTGAAAAAAAATATAAAATTACAAGTATTCTCTCCGTAATTATAAAAGTCGTAAT